GACGGGCCAGTCCCCAGAGCCTTTTCGAGCAGTATCCTCTAGTTTCGAACGTTCGGAGTACGACTCGCTTATCGACTTAGTCCTTGGGGAGCTATCAGTCGAGGCAGAAAACATTAGAAAGCTGTCTGCGGAATCATGACGCGTGTAAGAAATGGGCAGACGAGCTTTGATAAGATGCTCATGTGAAGGAGTGTCAAGCGACAGAACTTCTTTGGGAAGGTTTTGTAATCCCTCAGAGCTGCCCTTTTCTCCTCGACCTTTTGGTCATAATCTTCCTCTTCAAAGTCACGATTTTCATAGGCGCGGAGGTCGTGCAAACGCCAGTTTGCTCTGCCAGCAATAGCACGAGGTGCGGATCGACATTCGCTGAATAAGTCTATAAGGTTCAAGTCTCGCCTGGACAAACGATCTGGTGACAAGCTCCTGGGCGACCCTTGCGCCCTAGGCCGACGCGGCTCATTATTAATAAATGATTCTATTTCAACGCCCGAGCCATCTTGCGACGGTCTCCGTTGGGAAGCTTCCCCTCCATTGGAGCTTAACACTGATGGCGGTAGTAGTTGGATGTTTTCTAACTCATGCTCTGAATCTGAACCCTGGTATCTGTCGCCGTTGCTTTCCTCGACACGAGGAGAGTCAGGTAACGGCTTAGCGAGAGGAGTCGTCATGTTCGACGTGCTTTCATGGTCTGTCGGTGCACGGGGAGTCCCCTCTGCCTCCATCACGCCTTTGAACAGGCGGCTTTTAAGCTTGTCAGGAATAGGTTCTTCCAAAGTTTGCGATTTGTCAAGAGAATTTTCATTTTCTGATATTTTCGGTTTTGTGCTCTCTTTTATGCTCTCGATTTTATTCTCCTGGGCAGACGCACGATGCTCTGCCCTAGCCTTTAACTCATGGACAACAGCATATTGAATTATCCTCCACGTTTGAGCCAGCGTGTATAACGAGACATCCTCCGCGCATTCTGCATTGTTATCAAAACTCATCTGCACGCTTTCCAACAAGCTAGACGACGATTTTTTGCAGTCCGAACTCCCCATTAGAGACGAATAGTGCTTAGCGAGATATCTAAAGGTTTCCGGGTCAAACGTTGCACCGGAAACGTTACCAATAGCTCCAATCTGACTCGGCTCAAACACACCGCTATGTGCAATGGCTTTCTCAAGAGAAATAACAGTAGGACCGTCTTCTGACATCGGGGGGGTTCCGCTCAATGACTTAGAGCCTCTAGAGGAAGCAGTTTTGTTGGTTCTTTTTCTTAGCGACGAAAGCGCAGATTCGTCCAGGCCATCATCTGTCAAGCTGAGGCTGGTAGTCCCTTTTTCGCTACTACTTGTTTTTCCTGTCTTGAGGCCTAGGAATTCCGCCGGGCTTAAATTCATGTTCAACCCCCGCCTTGACGGGCGTTTGTGGTTCACAGTGATAATGTCGCCATTTGGGCTCCATGCTACAGCACAAGGTTTCCTGCGCGATATCACTTGGGGTGCAAATTTAATGTCCGTTTGGGTAAAAGTGCCATCGCCGTCCACTGTCCATAATAGCTCACTTGAATGCCACAACAGATCAGTGGGAGGACGATTATAGCGATCGATCTCTTTAAATGGGATATGAGGTCTGCGTAAATCCCATATATGAATTCGAGGATCCTCGTGGTCATAAGACGTGACGATTTGTGTAGACTGCCAGTTTGCGACTTCTTGATTCTCCAAAGCCCATGAAGGGGGCCGCCATCGTACATTATGAAGAGCTTGTGGAGCGCGAAACTGGAAGGATGGCTTCTGTCTCCGATCTGTTGTTGAAAAGTCCCATACCTTAATTTGTTTATCAGTGCCGCCACTTACAACATGTTTCCCGTGCGGGTGCCAGTCGATCGAAAAGCAGGCTTTTTCGTGGGCATTAATCTTCATTAGCGGGGCATTATCCTTTCGAACATCCCAGCGGTGGATAGCGCCGCTATCTGTAGCAGTCGCAAATTCAACGCCATCAACCGGCGACCACTTAATATCTCTGACAGCCTCACTATGGCCATTGAACCTAAATTTACTACCAAAACTCATCGCCCCTCTCTCGCCCGACACCATTCGCAGATCCCACATCCGGATAGTCGCATCCTGACTACCAGACAGAAGCCACGCCCCGCGATGAGGGTTGAATGCTAACTTGTGAACTTGGCGATTATGTTCTTGGAGCCGGCCCAATTCGAGTCCTGGCCTTTTTAAGTCATAGAGAACTATGCGTCCGTTGGCAGCGGCTGTAGCAATTATGCGGTCATATTCACCATGAGACCACTTCACATCCTTCGCGGCAAGCTGGTCCTTGTGTTTTGCAGATAAGGTGCCCGCTGAAACTTGGCGATTCGAATGATATGATAAAATAGCCTCGCGCAGGTCAAATTCTTCCTCGCAACTGTAGGGAGTTACTCGGATAGTCTTGAGGATCCCACGCCCGGCGACAACGGCATGTGTTTGTTGGGGCGAAATGTCAAGGGCAGCAATATGAACGTTGGTGTTAAGTGTGACTATTTGTGACGGACTAGGCCTACATAACGAAACACGTATGAAACGGCAGCGTTAGAGATGAGGATGTATTGTAGATGCAGAATAGCTTGTAGATGCAGAATAGCGGCAAAAATATCAATAGAAACACGCACTCCTTAGGGCATCATCACTTACCGCGCTGTAGGATGTAGAGGATGTATAACAACTAGCGCCTCCTGCGGAGCAGTTGGCTGAGGGCTTGGTGGCCTTGAGCCATAAATGAAAGGGTGTGCGAACCGGGCAAAAGCACTTGTAGCTCTAGTATATCGCTGGGAGGATAGTGACGGCGCGGGTGGTGGTGGCGGCGGAGGTGGTGGAGGGGGGGTTGAATGGGCTAACGCCGAAGGGAGAGCAACAGCACCAGACTGAGATTCGTTTTGATGGGACTCAGGCATCTTCGACACTCAGATCCAGGCGGCTGAGCAGTCTGGTGACGACCGCGGATCCATCTCTACCGCAGCTGGGGAGGGGGTGAGATGCGGTGGATGAGGGAGCAACAGGCAGACCACACCAACCAAATTCGGCGAGGCAAGCAAGACCAGACAAGTCTTGTGACTGAAGCGCAGGGTGAAGCACTTGGCGGCCCTGAGGAGGTGGCAAAGTTTCGTGGGAATAACCAGTCTGCGGAGATGGCGGTCCTGGTGGGCGAGTTGGGTGCCGGGTGTTGTTGGATAGGGAGGGATGCGAAGCCCAGACGGGTTCTGGGGTGGAGGACTGTCAGCCAAGCCAAGGCCGCTGGTGACAGGCCAGCGTGACTTGGCCTATCAGCGTGCAGGAATTGTCAACCTTCTGAGCATGAGCATCCACACTCCACTCCCGGGTCACTCAACACAACAAGTTTAAGACAGGCCATGTTCTAGAATCCCAGGTATGTTTTGCATATCGATATATCTATTACTGGGAAAAGCCATGGTGTGCAAAGATGTGTGGACCCTGCATTGGTCTGCTTAAGCTCTAACACATACATGGTGAGGGGCAGCAAACATTCCTCCCATAACCACTGAAATTTTATGTATCTCCATGCATTAACCCCCCCTCCCAGAACTAAAGGTATTCAATAAGTGCGAAGATCACTTTAGAGGGCCCTTAACATTACGAAAACGGAAGATTTATGTTCTAGGCCTTCGTTCTTCAACCCCTCACCTCTTTCTTCAGACCCTTGACAAAGCATGAACCCATTTCTCCTCAACCCCACAGGGTTCCGCCGCCAGCCCTGACCAGGGCCTGATTCTTCGCAACAGACGGAGTTGAGTTCTGGCTTGCCGTTGACAGGAAAGTTCCACAACTTACAAGGTTCCTTGAGTTAAAGATTGCCTCGAGCTGTGGATATTTCACAGCTCCGTCATTGGCTGTAATTCAAGAACACCAGCAGACAGAGACCCATTCACATACTATATAACACCGACAAGGTTTAGTTAGCATCATTGCATATTGTGCATACCTCTGGTCTCCCTTTGCGCTGACACTTTGGTCAGCCATACGTCCGGCTATAGATCAACACTAAAGATAACATAGATTCTCAAGCAGACTTTCAACGTTTTCTTGAGGATCAGTGATTCATTCATCTCTGCAGAAATAAGATATGCTCGTTCCATACAGGGGCTTTCCCCACCAATACGGGTGGAGCCGTTACGTTAAGGGGTACGCTACCCGGATTGCATAAGCGATAGTTTGGAGCTCAAAGCATCCCAGTGGCCACATTGGCTTTCCCCAGACTCTTCTTGCAAAAACAGATGGTCTTAGTAGGCTTAAGAGGTCTTTTGTGGTAAAAAGGAAACAACCCCCATCCACCTTCACCAGTGCTATGTTGTGTAACCCTAGGTTGGCATTGATCGATGATAAAAAACTGTTTAAACATGCAATCTTGTAGGAGGGCTTTTACCACTACGCCAAAAGAATCATTCCTTAAGGTAGTAGTCACCTATTCCTCAAGAGAGAGATATATATCTATATGTATGATTCACAAAAACGAACTATCATCAATGTACTGTACATGTACTGCACATACATCTGTACAGGTTTATATAGAAAGGACCATGGCAGCTCTTTGTTGCCCAGGATCCTCACTCGAAAAAATGGGAATCAAAAAATGGGGGGAAAAAAATTCTGATGGATGCGGCAGTGAAGTGTGATTTTGTGTCTCCCAAAAACATACTATATGGAAGGTCGAATTGCTAGTGGAACCTGAGCTAGAATGGGAGATATGAAAAGATAATAATGCTGCCGTGACTCTATTGTGATTATGAATGTTGCACTATTTCAAGCTACTTTGGAGCATTTTCTCAACGCAAATACTTGCAGTGTAAGAGTACATGGTGAACGATCAAGACAACCGCATACTTGATATATACGCGTAGAATTTTCAATACTCGGCCATTTAACAAGCACAATATTAACGAGTCTAAACGCACTGAGTGTAACCGGAGAATTTACGACCTAACTCGGATGAATAAAAAATAAGCACCGGGAAGATAACTCAAAGTAGAGCAAAAAAAAAAAAAAAAATTCTTCAAAATCCTTCAGGTTGTCCAACGCTTTGAAAACGGGGTAAATTCCCCATCCGGAAATGCATATCTTGAGTTTAACGCAGGCTAAGCAGCAGGCCGGTAGTCCAGATGGTGTCTCCCGCAGACAGGCCGAACTGGACAAGCTTTGTGGAAATTCGTGCTGGTTGAAAAGCGTTCAGGGAAGGACGGCTCTACAAAGTAGTGAGGGGTATATCGTGACTTCTCTCAATTACTCCACTCCTTGAATTTGTTTCTGTGGGTAATATTCTACCGTACCATAAAGCTCATGGGGAATGCTGCCATCAGCACAATCAAGCGCTCACATTATCGCACAGTGCTTCTGAGGATTGAGTAGTTAAATCTAGACTCCACCGTTCACAATAATGATATATCCTCAACCGACAGTGGCTGATAAAATAAATCGTCAGTGTGGAAGAGCAGCAGTTCAATAAATCTCGTTGGTCAAGATTGGTCGCGTGAGGCTCATTCCGCCTACGATGATCAGTGACCGCCTACAAAGAAAGTAATTTTAAATTTCCGCCATGGCACACGACCGGAAGCTGCACATTTCCTCCTTTCGGGAAGGTCGGGCAATAGGTCGGGCAATAGCCTTAATAATAATGATAACACACACACATCCTGATGTCCGGAAACTGGGCATACATGTGTACTGCACATTTCGGTGGACACACAAAAAAAATGTGATGTATCGAGGCGGGTGATAAGGTGCTCTCTTGGTTGCTTATGCATATCAGCGACCCACATCCGGCCACCTTCATCAATTGTCGGTTGGTATTTCTTTTTCTGAAGCTCTTTAGATGAAAAATCCAGAGGTCAGAAGAGGCCTTGAACATGGCCATGCGCCAAGCAGAAGTCGGGAATCAGACCCAAGTCCCGGCCCCACGGATCATCACACAGGGCCTAGCCATACAGCAACTTCCACGAAGCCTTGCGCCTGTTGTTAGAGCCAAAAGGGTATAGTAGCCTAGCCAGCATGCAGCTCTGGTTTTTGTGGGTTCGTCTCGTATCTCGATAAGCCTTTTTTTAAAGAATAAAAATAAAATAAAATAAAAAAGTTCAAATAATAAAAATAAATATCTGCTGGTGTTGCAGTCTGAACTTCACAGACTCCGTTGCTTGGGTCGGCATGTGGTCAACATCTAAAGATGGACCAGACCATTGAGTTCTGGGTATTTTAGACCAAAAAAAAAAAAAAAAAAAAAAAAAAAAAAAAAAAAAGATGAAAAAGATGATTAAAACCATTGCTTTCTCATGACTCTTTACCTTCGCTGCGTTTGCTAATGTTGATGTTCGCAACTTGCAAGGCATTGGTGAGAAAAACATGAGGGCAGGGTTCGGGCGGGGCGATTCGTGCCTGATCAAACAAGAGAGGATGTTGTCTTCTTACCGCTTCGATATAGGGTTTTCTCAAAAGACCTTATCTTTCAGCTACATATAATATGTTTGCTTCTTTTATCTTGAATTGTCTATTAGTTAAGAAGGTGATATACTAAGATCAGGTAGACGGAGCAACCATACCTTTGTGCACCTATGGTCTTTTTATGATCGAAAGACAAGAATGAAGTGCTTTTTTGAAATCCAAGCGGTGATTAAATTCTTTTTTCTGACAATGCAGGCGAGTTAGCAATGGGAGTAACAAGTATGGCCACGCTGGACCCTTTGGCTGGCGAATGATATTTATGCTTCATGCGACACCGATATTTTGCGTTTGTTGTCGGTGATTGATAAAATACGCCTCCTCCAGCAATTTGCCGGGCTCCTGACATCCTTACCACAGAATTACGTTTAGCTGCAGTAGCATGATGCATTCCATCGAAAAGTTCTTTACTTCACACCCCCATTAAGTCCCAGAACCAAAACAGGGTTGTATTTTCTGACATGCCTAACGATGCGAGATCGACCATGGCAGCCACGAGTAGTATGAACGCTGAACGCAGCATCATTTCCATTAAAATAGGAATAGCTGTATGCATGAGATCATAGCCAGCAATTGAAGGGAATTTTTCGTTCAACAGCCGATTGACGGACAGATGTAGCGGACCTTTCTAGCCAACACAAGCTGCACACGACGCGTAGGTATAACAGTAGAAACACAAGTCGACAACAAAGCAACATTAGAAGGCTTGGTAGGCTTGGTTGGCGCGAGAGACTCCAAGTGTCGCAGTTGTGGCAAAATTTCCGAAGATAGTGAGAGGCATAATAATAAAAGATCGCGCCTTGTACTCACTGCATCAGCAGTGCATATACAAGGAAATGTATTATCTCCATATACCCTCAAAATCCCAGTTTGCGCTGTCCCACCGCGATCGTTGCTGCTAGACCATTCCAACCCCCGTCATCTGGGTTGTAATGACCCGTCCGCACGCAACTGGTGACCCTGCTCTCCGATATTCTGACCTGATGCGCTGCTGACCAGTAGCAACGCGCCCCACGACGGCAGCGGCGGCGGTACATGTACTAGCCTCAGCGTTTGCGCGCTCCAGCTGAGGTGGTTACCGAGGACAGGGAAAAGCCTGCAGCCCGACAGGCCACGCGCAAGAACCGGCTATCCCAGCCACCCCTGCTAGCCCCAAGGCCTCCGTGTCTCCCCGACTACTATTGGCGACGAGGAACCTATTCTGCCGGGGGGGGGCCATTGGAGCGGCCTCACCGCTTTGCAGCGTCTGTGGCCGCTCACCGACTCGTCTGCAAAAGGACGCCGCCTGACGAATCGCTACGCAGCAAGGGGGACCTGGAGGGTTGAGAAAAATAGGGAAGCAAAGCAACGAGAACAAGCCTGAAAGAAGAACCCCAGGGGGAGGCGCGGGAGTGATCCACAAGGATCATAATTGATTCATTGATTCATTGATCCAATTGATTAATTGAACCCAGTTTGAGCTGTTTGCTGTTTGCTGGATCCTGTTATTCGCCTCTTGACCTTATTGTCATATGTATATTTTCAATATCTTTTTTATACATGATTTTTTGCCTCAGCTCAGGTCCCGTGCCGCCGGTGATCGTCTGGACCTATAGATCGAAAACTTCTTGAGCTCCAGCGCCTCGGAAGCCCAATCCCGCCACACCCCCATAATTCCTTCCTGGATACGGAATTTATCTTTTTTTGCTTGTTCTGCTCGTCTTCTTCTTCTTCTTCTTCTTCTTCTTCTTCTTCTTCTTCTTCTCTACCTTTTTTTGTTTCCTCACACCTCCCCCTCCCGCTGAACTCCGAGCTCCGTAGGTAATTACCGATCCCTCTGAACTGAAGCTCTGAAAATAGCCGTGCTTGCCGATCACAGCGCTCCTTGAGCCTTGCCTATCGTTCAATTTTTGCGTCTCTATCGTCCTCTATGCTGTTTCTGCTCGCGATCCTCCGTTCCTTCTCCGCATTGCTTCAGTAGCCGGGTACTTCCTCCCTCTCCGCCGCGGTTTCCTGGAGTTCGGCAATCCGCCTCAGCCTTTCGCTTGTTTACCGCTTTCGGGATACGCCCAATTCCCACCCTTGACTGGCACAGAGCTGACGTGGGGATTGATACTCTTCTTCTACCCTCATTATCTCTCTTCCTGCGCTCTTTGAAAGCCTCTACCCTCATATTTGGCCAGAGTCTCGTCTGTTTCGCTCGTGGCCAAAGTAAGACAATCGGCAATTCGCCTCTTTCCGTTTACTATTTCGTTCCCCGACGCCCCAAACAACATTCATACCTGAGTCCGTTCCGCTAGAGCTCACTGTCGTTGTTTGGCCTCTTCATCGGTCGTTTCTGCGGAATTATATTTTGAGAAGCCCTAGGGGTTTGGTCATGGAAGCGGATTGAACGCGGAAGGCTTTTTTTCCCTTTTCGTCTTGCGGGTTCCAAATTGGAATTGCTGCTTGGGAGCAGTATGGGTTTCTCCAAAAGAGCTGGCAGCGTGCCATCGTTTTCACACCCGGAAATCAGGATGCTTCTACATTACACTCGGTCGATTTCCCCCGTGATCATCGTCGTCGTCTTCCTTATCGCATTCGTATCACGTTCTGTCATATCGGCCAGGAGAATACCTGCCCACCCTCCCGCCATTCGAACAGGACCTGGTGGTCGACCGTTGCCGACGCGTATGAGGAGCACTGCTGTGTTCGCTCCTCCTGTGTCCGATTTCTCACCAAATGCTAAATTGACGTTCAGGTGGCTGTCGGTGGGTGTTTTGTTTACATTTGTCGCTGATGCAGCTATTACTATGACCCACGTCATCATGTATCGGCAAATGCACTGGTGGTGTGGTCAATCCAGAGTGGTGAGAATCCCATATTCTGTATTTGTTTGATTCAACCTTACTGTTTATATTTTCTAACACATGAATTTCAGATTTATATCGTCTCTTCCTTTTTCGCATACACCGTCATCCTAATCTCACTCTTGGATACAACACCCTCACCGACTTACGCACAACTACTTCCTTGGGCAGTTGCTATACCACTGGAATTGATAATTTTGGGAGGTTGCCTGGCCCTTTACACTTCTCCTCACCATGAACCAATTGTCGGAGATCCTGCTGGCGGCCCGCTGAGAAATATCATGACGTCCTGGGAAACAGTGGAAGTAATCGTTGCTGTAGTGAGGCTCCTTACTTTGCTTGGGATTGTGATTTTCTATACCTTAAGTTCCGTCGGATGGAGGAGCTATCGTCACAAGGATGCTACTGCACGCTTCGCCTCCGGTGAAGCTTCAGAGACCACAAGGTTGTTAAATGGCCATCGCAGCGGAATAAACGGTGATAACTACGGGTCATCCTCTCCAAACCGAAAAAGAGATTCGGATTTCAAACCAGAGGACGCTTGGGTTCGACCAACTACTGTACCTTCAACCAGCTGGTGGGAATATATAAGCGGTTATTCCTTATTCTTTCCTTATCTCTGGCCTTCCAAATCTCGGCGACTGCAACTCATCGTTGTCGCTTGCTTTTTCTTGGTCGTTTTACAGCTTGTCATCAATGTCATGGTTCCCATTCAAATTGGTAGAATCACCAATGTTCTCTCGGGAGATACTGGAGAAGAATTCTACATTCCATGGCGTGGAATTTGCATTTATGTCCTCTTCCGTTGGCTTCAGGGAAATCAGGGATTAATCGGTTCTTTGCGTTCCTTTTTATGGATTCCTGTCGGACAGTATTCATACATGGAACTTTCAACCGCTGCTTTTGAACATGTTCATAGCCTTAGTCTCGATTTCCACCTGGGCAAAAAGACCGGCGAAGTGTTGTCAGCTCTAAGCAAAGGCAATTCTATCAACACGTTCCTGGAACAGTTCACGTTCCAGGTTGTACCAATGCTGATCGACCTCTGCGTTGCGGTGGGTTATTTCTGGATCGTTTTCGACGTATACTATGCCCTGGT